AAAATCACTAATTCATGACTTTTGAAAGAACCCTTTTTTGTTCTTGCCAAAAAGTTAATCTAAAAAGACTTTTTAAATTGCCAAAAAGTTAATCTAAAAAGACTTTTTAAATTGCCAAACATCTTTTTTGACTTTTACCTTTTTGAAAAAGCCAAAATTCCTAAAAATCATTCTAAAAGATATCTCAAACACCCTCTTAATACTTATTGTAAACTCATTTGAGCTTCTGCATCACATGGGTTGGTTTAATTTATCCGAAGAACTCAATAACCCAAGCTCTCCTTCCTTATTCTGAAACCTGCAACTCAAAACCCCGTACATCGATTTCTAATGTTTTTTCTTTCTTTATTTCTTTCTAACTCTGTTAATCAAAGCAGTACCAGTCAAACTAAAACCAAGTGGTAAACCAGAATCTTTAAACCAAAATAAGAACCCAAATCCACAAACCAAATCTTAAACCAATTGTTTGTGAAGATACCAACAAATCGAAACAATAAGATCAATATCAAAACCAAAATCAAAACAGTAATAGTCAAATTGGGTTTTCAGACCCTTTTCCTCTACTCTTGTTTTGCAGTCGCAGTTCAGGCCATCATGGTTGTCCTCATCCCCTTACGCCGCCCTCTCACCGTTATAGTACTATAGAAACACCATCACCCCGCACACAACGCTGGCCTAAGATGATTTATTCTTCCTTTTTAACCCTTTCCTTTTCCTTGACCCACAATTTCTCTCCTTCTGTTATTCCTAACGACGATAGGTAGGGTTTGATGGTGCTTTAGAATCATCATCGCCCACACCATAAGCCAGCAGCGCCATCATAATCGTAGTTGAGAGACCGACTCTGGCTCTTTTTTCTTTCCGATCGCATGAAGACAACACACACAATGCACGTAGGGTTTTTTCCTTCTTTTTGCCTCACCTGATCGTTATATGGTAAACAATGGAGAAGAAGATGGATGTTGTGATAGAGATGAAAGTAGTATGAAGGTGTGTGCCAGATGCTTTAGGTTTTGGAGAGAGAGAGAGAGAGATAGGGAAGTAATTATATATATATATATATATATATATATATATATATATATTAAATAACAAAAAACTTTCTAAACGGTTATGTGGTAATGAAATGATGAAAATGCCCTTCTATTAATGGTCAAAAGCTAAGGGAGTTAGCAAAAATAACCACACATCAAGAGTTTTTTAAGCACAGGGACCATCTATGATGTTTTGAAAGCGCAGGGATCAGACTTCAGATATGGGGAAAGCACAGAGACCATTTATGATGTTTTTTCTTTTTATAATAATAATTATTTTCAAATTAATAGTTTTTTAATTAATTAACTATTTAGATGATATAATTCTAAAATATGTCTATATAAATCGGTTAACTATAAGACTGCACGGAGTGGGTGCGTCAAGCCTACTCGTCATGCACGCTAAGCATGCCAAACGCCAAGCATGCCAAACGCCACATTCTAGCGCACACCAAGCCTTTCTCATTGGTGGGTTAGTGTGAATAGAGGGAGGGAAAAGAGATGGTGATTGACCCCTTAACTTGCTTAAACCAATCAAATTTCAGTCGGCCCTAAAATAGTTGTTAAAAAATAAGCACAATTAGTAAATGATTTAAAAAAATGATGTGGTATGCTAAGACACCACCACTTTCTAGGATCATGCAATGCTTAGGTGTAGGGCCACTGGCGGAGCCACATAGGTGTCCAGGGTAGCCAGGGGTACCCCTCAAATTTCGTCTAGAAGGTTAAATTTTTTCTTAATTTTTTTATATTGTGGTGCTACCTCGATAAAAAAAAATATGGGCTACCCTATATTATAAATCTAACTCTTTTAAAAAAGTCAAAAATGTTTAAGCGCAATATTTTAGTCAAATGAGAGAATAAAAGATAGCCCGATAATGTACAATTATCCAAATCTTGTACCCATTTGATAAAAAAAACATGAAATAGAAACACAACAGAACGCTGATCGACACTGCTTGTTCCATCTACTTGCTAATTGTTGTTGTCTGTTTGCTGTTTTTTCTAAGTTGTGTGCGGAATCCATAATTGTTTGAAGAAACTCATTTGTTCTCTTGGTAAAAAAACGATGGTACAACATCGTTAAGGCATTTTATTATTTGTAGGATATGTGGATTTTTCCATTTGACATCTTTAAGATCCAAGTAAGATTCGGAGATAATATGATTTTCTGGTTGCAAGACTGGTCTGGAGACAGAGCTTTCGCTGAGCGCTTCCCGAACAATTGCAATCGTGACAGAAAAAAAATATTGCTTCATCTCAGATAGGATACAGTTCAAACAAAATTTCACTTGGAATTGGAAAAAGGTTCATAGCAATCACTTGGAGATTATGGAACTAAATGCTCTTTCTGGTGCACTTTCGCATGTGGAGTTAGCACATGGTATGGATAAGTGGAGATCCAAGCTATCCTCTGATGGCAATTTCTATGTCAGTAATTTAAAAGAAACTTAATGACTCTAGGATTACTACTCATGTGGATAATCTAACTATTTGGGCCCATTTCTATATCTGTAATTTAAGGAACCTTATTGACTTTAGGGTTATTACTCAGGTGGATAATCTAACTATTTGGGTCCATCTTGCACCTCTTAAAGTTAACGGTGTCGTTTGGCGTGCCTATCTGGATCGGATTCCTTCGGCTTTGGCGCTGTCTCACCAGGGAATTTCGATTTCTTCTTCTAATTGTCATTTTTGTTCGAATGAACTCGATGAGACGGACCACATTATGGTGGGTTGCCCTTTTGCTAGAGAAGGTTTGAATTGGGTTTTTAAATGGTGTAACAATCCCGTTCAAAATTTTGAGACGGTTAGTGAGCTTGTGGGTTTCACGTCTGTTTGGGGACATTGCTCAAAGAAACGTCAACTCTTACTTGTCATCTTTTATGGCTTCTTATGGTGTGTTTGGAAAGCTATGAATGATTTGATCTTCAACAAGTTGGGAATCTCCTATTTGAAAGTGGTGGACAACGTCATCACAATGGTTTTTAACTAGGTAAAATATAGGGGTCATTTTGATGTATATAATTTGGGCAAACTGGATTTGCTTTCCGTTTATTGTTGTTTTGTTTCTTTTGTCTTGTCTTATGCTTGATTCATAGTAACTTTAATATATTTCCACCGTTTAAAAAAAATACAAAACACATATCTATCTCCTTTAATAAACAAAACCTTTAAATGCCACATTTCTAAGTAGACTAATTGACACGTGACAATTTTTAAGAAATTCCTAATTTTTAATTTTTTTTTTGGTATTTCTTTATTTTCCGGAAAATATTTATGAGGAATTCAAAATTCAAAATTCAAATTTCCATTTTTTTTGGTAATTTTAAAAATCTTTCATTTAAAATTTTAAAAAACATCCTACCCTAATAACATAAATTTATCGAAAAACTAAGAAGTATTTATAAGGAATTTTCAATTTTTCCGTTTTTTTTCTGGTAACTGGTAAACCATCTTTGATTTAAAAATTCTTATACCTCCTCTAATCCAATTTCATGCTTCTTATTTAAAGTTTGAATTTAATCCCTATATTTTGTTAGTGTACCGGCATAAGTCCATGTAATTTTTTTTTCCAATAACTTTTTACCCATGTAATTAATTTTTTATCTTTAAATAATTATCAAAAATTATATTAGTTTACTTTCAATCAGAAATACGTTTACAGCCTTTTTTCAACACAATAAATTATTATTGTTAAATTTTAGTTTACAAAATTTATATGTTGCTTTATTCAGAAAAAATGACCATATAATAATTGAAGTATTGATTTCAGATAAAAATTGTAATTTAACCAATAAAACGTCAAATAACAAAACGTCAAATGATATATACAAAGAAGTGTTTCAAAATGTAATTTAAAAGATTTTCTTTTTTACTTATTAAATTCATCCGGCTTTACTTACAATCTGAAATACATTACTTTTTATTATGTTGACATTTAATCTTTATTTTGTTTATATAATAAAAACTTTGAACATAACTACCGTGGTTTCCACGGGTTATAACCTAGTAAATTAATAAAATAATAAAAACATGTTAATTTGTTATGATTGAAAAGAGGACTGTTTTTTAGTTTGAAGATATTTCCAAGAAAAACAAGAATGCTCCATAAAATGATTGGTTAACCCCGGCCCTCAGGTATATGAATGAGAGGGTATTAAGTGCAAGATTTCTCACGTGCAACCCATTCGCACACGCACCAGAGCGGATGTACCTACAAACCACCACCACCATCACCAACACGCACAGAGAGACAACCTTTCGCTTGCGTCTTACCCTCGCTCACACAAATTAGATTCGATCCCTACATCTTCTACACTAAACCCTCGATCCATCAACTCCACCCCTATTTCTTCACTGATTCAACTCTATCATCCACTTCATTTCTTCATCAATCTTTCCTGGGTTTGCTTCGAGATTCTTCATGATTACCCACTCTCCTGGTATGTTTGACTTTCCCTGATCTGATTTTAGTGAAAAGAAACTTGATGAGTGTATAATCTTTGATCAATTTGTAGTTTAAATCATTCGATTGACGCAGGAAGATGCCTTTATGTGTGTTCGGTATGCTTAAATCTATGTGGGATCTTCGTTGATTTGCAGGCGAAGTGATTGATCCTTTTAGTTGGTTGAATTAGGGCATTAGATTTTACAACTCAAAAATTTGTACTGTGTTCTCTCTCTATGTTTATTGGATTGGTGTTGTTACTGTTTATACAGTTTTCTCAAATCTGGATTTCCTTTTGGTTTTGGGGATTGCGATTTTAAGACTATATGTTCTGCGTTTGAAATTTGCAAGCTTTTTATGTACAAAGAGTTACTCGATTTTATGTTCATTTAGGGTTTTTTTTTTTTGGGATTTGAGGATTTGAAAACTGATTGTTCGCGTACAGGGCTAGATGATGATTTGGTGATCCCGTTTTGCAGGGTTTCACCGACGAGATCAGATTTGATTGAACGAAGATGGAGCATCTTCCGGTGGAAGTCATCGGCAACATCCTCTCTCGTCTCGGCGCCGCTCGTGACGTCGTAATCGCCTCCGCCACTTGCCGGAAATGGCGAGAAGCCTGGCGCATCCACCTTCACACACTCTCCTTCAACTCAAACGACTGGCCTGTTTATCACGAACTCACAACTAGCAGACTCGAAATCCTCATCACTCAAACAATATTCCAAACCACCGGCCTCCAATCTCTCTCAATCATCATGGACGACGTCGACGAGTTCTCCGCCGCCCCCGTCATCGCCTGGCTCATGTACACCCGAGAATCCTTGCGTCAACTACATTACAACGTAAGAACATCACCCACCATTAACATCATAGAAAAATGCGGGCGTCAAAAACTCGAAATCTTAAATCTATCTCACAACACCATAACCGGAGTCGAACCAAGTTATCAACGATTCCCATGCTTAAAATCTCTCTCCTTAAGTCACATCTCCATTTCTGCTCTCGATCTAAGTTATCTCCTCACCGCCTGCCCTAAAATCGAGATTCTCACACTTCTAAGCCTCGACATCGCCATGTCAGACGCCCAAACATCAATGGAATTGAACTCTCCATCTCTAAAAGATCTATCCGCAGAAGCCATAAGTCTGGAAAAGTTCATTCTGGAAGCAGATAATCTCGAGAAGTTACAACTGAAAGATTGCACGCTGGAAGTTTTTGAACTCATTGGCAAAGGTACGTTAAAACTTCTTAAAATCGATGATGTGAGTGTGATTCATCTGGATATCGGTGAAAACACGGAGAATCTTGAAGTGGTGGACGTTAGTAATTTCACAATCATGTGGACGAAGTTTCATCATATGATTTCAAAAGCTTCAAAGTTAAGAGGGCTTCGGCTATGGGGAGTTGTGTTTGACGATGAAGATGAAGTGGTGGACATGGAGACGATTTCCGTTTGTTTTCCTCAATTGACGCATTTATCTTTGTGTTATGATTTGAAAGAGGGGTCGCTTCAGTACAGTTTGCAGAGATGCTTTGAGTTGAAGAATGTGATAATGTTGGAATTGGGGTGGACGGTGATTACTGATTTGTTTTCGCAGTGGGTGGGTGGGCTTTTGGAGAGGTGCCCGAATCTCAAGAAGTTGATTATTAATGGAGTTGTGTCAGAGGCTAAAAGCCATGAAGAATGCCAGGTTTTGGCTAATTTTACCACATCCATCGTTGGTTTAATGCGGAGGTATTTGCATGTTGATGTTCAGTTTGAATATGAATAACGAATGATCAATGGTTGGATTTGTTTTTGTGTAAATTGAAGTCTCTGATCGTATTTCGTCTCCAGAAGCAGGTAAATGATATGGTTTTTGTTGGGTTTCTACTTCCAAGTTTATTGATTTACACCTAATGTAGATTTTGTGGTATTAGTTATAATTCAAACAACATTTCATTATATTTTTTCTGTGTTTCTCTTTTGGATGCCACTTCATAATTCAAACAACTTCTGTCGACAAGCAAAATTAAAATCCACAACTCAACTGCATTACAGTCTTGTTGTTCTATTGCAAAATATTTTTCAACTAAATAAGCTCTTTGCTAGCTTTAGTGATGGCCATGTATGTATATTGCTTATGTGGTTGAAAGATGAAGTCTAGACTAGACGTCCAACCTATTGCTTGGTTGCAGTCTAGAAACAAATCAGACTCCACAACTCAACATGTGTTCATTTAAATGTGACTTTGGTGTTGTTTATATTTGACTTAATAGACTCAAAGAGAAAGAGTTTTTTGGGTCTATGAAGGAATGTAGAGGACGATCTCACTCACCATATAAACTTAAGGTTAATATTGTATGAACCCGAATATTGGCCAACAAAGACGACACATGAAAGTTGCAAAAATGATGATGCTATAATGGAAATGTGTTGTAACTAGGGACAGACCTGGACGGGGAAATGAATAACCAAGAACCAAAATGCATAAAAATATAGGACCGAGGCTACCGGTTTTTGGTTCTAGAACCTTGTTTAGCTCACAAAATGTTTTTTCTTCAACCATTCTCGATAATATGTAATTCCATTGGTTTTGGTTTTGGGTCAAATTCTCATCCATAGTGATAACAATTATTAATAGCAAGTTGAGAGTAGCATCGATCGTCACAAAGTTAAGAGAAAAAAAGTTAAAGATAGTTTATTCCGTATATTAATTTTTCTATAATTGGATGGAGATAAGGTGTCTTCATCTAACTCCCTTCTTATTACCCCATATATCATATGCGATTTTGGAATATTTTTTTTTCAATTATTGATAGACTTAGGGGTCGTTTGATAGTTGCTAATTGGGTTAGAAGTTGATTGGATTAGAAATTCTGACTGAGTCCACATCTGACTAAGTTTACGTTGTTTGATTATTTTTCTGACTGACTATGTTGAATGATGAAAAATGACAAATTTACCCTTCTGTTCTCTTGTGTTGGTTAAAATAACTATAAAAGTACAAACTCTTGCATAAAATCTAAATTAAACATATACCATTTAAACTCTAAATACAAATTGTCATTTAAAATCCAAATACAAATTGGTTAAACAGCTAAAACGTCATTTGATAAAAAGAGAACACAAGAAACTGATGGATCAAATCAAAGTTACAGACATAAAAAAAAATTGTCAATGAATATATTAATTAAGATTGAAATTTTACCCAACACAAAATGGTTATACAAACTGTAAGTACAATTTCGCCATTTTTACTCTTCAAGGGTAAAACATGGATGCTTTGTTCATGCTTGAATAAGTTATCTGGATCACTTTTGATATTCACCAACCTATTTTGTCTTTGAAGTACTTTGTTCTCCAATAACTTTCCTTCACAAAACTGGTGTCATCACCATTTTTATCATTCATTCCGAGATCAAAATATATGTAGTTCTCATAAGCTTTTCTTGGAAACATCACTTCTTTTTCAGGGTTCATACAGGTGCTTAAATAAAATAACATTTCTATGAGAAAATGGGATCGATGATTCTGAAATTCCGCCCATCATTAAGCAACAATTCAAAGAGAACAGCAACATCAACCAAAAAAATCGGAGGAAAACTTCATATCAAATGGAAATCACAGCAACAAATCGCAATATCACATCAGAAATTCAAAGCTATTCGATAATTTGAAAAAATCGGGACCATAAAAGTCAGAAACGCACCTGTTCGAAAGAAGGTGGTCTCCGGTTGTGAGGTCGGAGGAAGACGACGGATTCCGAACATAGGATGGTCGCCGGTAGCAGGGGAGCAGGAGCAGCGGTCGCTTTTCTTCTTTTATGTACATGTGTGTTTACAAAATCGGTAGGGTAAAAGTGGAATTGAAGGAATTTTGTCCCGGTCCTTCTTATTTGAAGCTTGGACCGAATCCATCAATTTTGATGGACCGAATCCATCAATTTTGATGGACCGAGTCCACATCTTGGACCGAGTCCATGACTCTATAATTCAAATCAAACATGCAAATTTATAATTTTTTGACCTGGTCCCTCTTTGGACCTGATTAGAAGCCAAATCAAACAACCCCTTAGGTGTTGTTTGTTTTTCTGAAGCCAAAAAGTCTGCAGTCTGCGGACCATATCTGGAGGCCTCTGCAGCATAAGAGATAGACCAAACGTCTACAGTATGCAATAAGAAGACTGTTTGTTTTTTAACGTCTGCAGGCTGCTAAAATAAACTGAATTTTAAATAAAATGATTTTACAAACTTAAAATGATTTTTCAACACCAAAATTTTAATAATAATAGTTATACAACACCCAAAATAAAATTCATACAACTAAATTAGTCTTACAATAAAAAAAAGTTTGGTTTTACAATAACAATTTCATTTAAAATAATTCAATATATATCGTGCATCAACGACCACATTGTTATTTCGAAACGAGACATTGGGCTCATCGTATTTTGCGAAAATACTCATCCCTCGGTCCTTTTTTCCTTATAAAATTATGAAGTGCGAAAATTAGTAATATATTATACAATTCATATTAGAATCGGAATTGTTAATATACGAAAATTATATAATATACAAAAATTATTAATGGCTTATATAATTTATATTAGAATCGAAATGCAATGCTTTTATAAATACTTTAATATAACTAAGTTTTTTGGTCTTAAACAATTGGCATATCACATTTTTTTTTTAAATTTTGGTCACCCGTCATAAAAGTATGGTTTTTATGTTCTATTTTTTTCTTTTTAATATTATTGAAAAAAAAAATCAATAAACAAATGTATACATTAATAATTAAATAAACATAAAATAAAGAAGTTATAATGGCAAGGAATAAATCTAAAATGTGTTTTCTTTCAATACGATGGATTTGGGAGGCGCCAGAAGAAAAAAAAATGCAAATGTTTTTTTTGTTTGTTTTGGTTTAGGTTTATTGGCTTGTGAAGACTTTAGAAGACATTAGTCCATGGCTGTGCCAAGAAGACCTCGCGCAGACGTTTTTAGGTCTGCGCACTTTCGAAAAACAAACGGTCTGCGAGGTCATATGTCTGCGCGTGGTCTGGGCGGCCCAGACAGAAGTGGTCACGCAGATCTGCAGACAAAAAACAAACAGCACCTTAATCTTTCGTATGTTTCTTTCAACTTAATGTAGAAAGAATGCATTAACGCATAATGTCATATAAGACCAAGACCAAGACCAAGACCAAGACCAAGACCGTAACCTAAATCCTCTTTGACACTCATGTAACGCCTATTCAAATAGTTAAATATTCTAAGCAGTTTTATTTTGAAAAAAAAACAAGTATATCATTATTATAATATTATAGTTTTTCATGTTAATTTGTGGAGAAAATATGTGTTTTAGGCACAAAACAAAACATGAAGAAGAATACCCAATTTGTGTTTGCTGTTTGTAAAATTTAAAAGAGCCCAAAAAACTAGTATTACATATTTGTTTATATTTGTGTATACTAGTAATAACCCACGCATGCATAACAACAACGAACATCCAATATAACAAGTACCAAAAATAACCAAAAAGACAAAAAAATGTTGATGGTAAATGTGAAAATGAGCCCAAAGCCCCAAATTTGTGAAAGTAAATGTGAAATTTAAAGACGAACAAGTGGTAATTCTCATAAAAAGAAAATACATAAATAGATCTTAAGCAATCAACTATAGATTGCATTACACCATATCCTAAATCCTACTTTAACAACTCATCAACACAACCCATAAGGTATCAAAAAGGGGTCTGAAAACCAAACCCCTTCCATCAACCAAAAAGCAATAAAACAATTTCAAATTTAAAAAACAACAACACTCATGACTCATCAGCCACTAGATTCATCTGCAAATTGGTTTACATCAATAATACATACCACAACACATTTGCAGTTCCAGTTTTGGAGCATGGAGATGGAGACATCTTTTTTTTCATACCAGATTTATTTAGCATATATTGTAGAGTGTTGAATTCCATTCATTTAAGCAAACCCCGGATTGTGTGCTAATGCCTCCTCATATATCAAGTTCTTAATCTGCTCTTCTCCCAGAACTTGTTGCTCAAATTCAAATGAAAAAGGATTCAAACAAATTGGCTCATCAGCTACATCGTGTAGTCTAGCAAGGTAAGGGTGTTCTAATGCATCTTCAACTGCTCAAAACATGAAAATTTTGATCAAATTATTATTTATTTATTTTAAAAGTAGATTAAGGTGGTGTTACCTGTGATTCGTTTAGTTGGATCCAAAGTCAACATTTTGTCAACCAAATCAATAGCCAATGGATGAACATGTGGGAACATCTTTAGCAATGATTGGCGTGGATGTTGAGGGAGTTGAGCAAGATACCTTTTTGCATCTTCATTACGAATAAACCGAAGATCAGATTCAGTTGGGGTACCTAAAAGCTAAATACAAAGAAATTGGAATTAGATGTTTACAAATAACATACGGAAATCAAGAAATGAATATTATAACATACCTCTGTTAATATGCGCATTTGATGGACAGTATCTTTACCAGGAAACAAAGGTTTTTTGTTCATGAGCTCCATGAAGATGCAACCAACTGACCAGACATCAATGGCTGCTGTGTAATCTGAAGAGTTGAGTAGGAGCTCAGGGGCCCGATACCATCTTGTCACAACATATTCGGTCATAAAATCGTTCTCAGCACTTGTTCGTGCAAGCCCAAAATCACAAATTTTTAAATCACAATTTGCATTCAGTAGCAAATTACTTGGCTTCAGGTCTCTATGAATCACATTGGCAGAGTGAATATAC